TAATGCAGTTTTTATAAAGGGAAACCAACCAAATCAATCACAAGTCAAATCCCATCATGCTAAGCACACACATCAAATGTCTCTCCTATTTACATAGGCACATGTTCATTCTTATATTTTTATTTTATAGTTAGAAACATGTGGGGAAGGGCTTTTATTTGTTTTTGCCTTGTCAGTTGCTTCAACTTAAACTTGGGGTTCAGCAATTTCCTCTGCTGCCCGTCGATATTCCATTTAAAGGGACAACAAATGTGACATACTATATATACTATATATGCATTAGGAGTTGCATCTATCTACATAGACACCATATATATATATCTTCCAGCTAAATATTGTGTACAAACATGCCTGGTTAAATACATTTAATGATGCCGCGCCCATAAATTCGCCGACCACTGAAAAAGAAGGGGACACAGGTTTTAGCCTGGCTAAAAACTGTCAGAAATTTGAGGTAAATGTTTCAACACGTCAGCTTCAGCGGTCACAGGTTGAAGGGTCGGCGAGGCTGTGTGCTTGAAATCTTAATTGAACCTTCACTAAAATATTAACGAAAAAAAACAGTTGTTGCCGAAGATTAAATACCCTAACAGTCATATATCAGACTTGAAATCCAATACTTAGCTTCACACAATTTGTGCTTCTTAGGATCTACATGATAAAGGTTCCAGACTTTCGTGCTAAACCGATCTATGCCGAAGATTAAATACCCTTACAGTCATATATCAGACTTGAAATCCAATTCTTAGACACACAATGTGCGCTTCTTGGGATCTACATGATATTAAAAGGTTTCCCATACAAGACTTTCGTGTTCAACCGATCTTTGCAATCAAAGAATTGTGATTCAATACGAAAGACGGAGAAGCAGACAAACAGACGGAAGCTAAATCGACTCAGCTTGTCGTTCCGTTCAAGAATATATATTCTATATGCCGTCGTAAACGTGACAAATGTTGTGACAGAAGTATAATAACTGCCGTTAGGGTACACGAATAAAAAAGGGGAAAATAGGAGAGGCCCGTATTATTATTATCTGTAATCGAGCTCAATCTTGTGGTGCTGTTGGCTGTAAATCGGGTCTTTTAAAATTCTATCAACATAAAGTTGGTCTTTTTGTTTAGCCTTTTAACAGGCCCGCCAAGTTCAGGCATCGTCACTTAATTAACTTAAAAGTGCCTAGGTATGCCCCTTAAGCCTGGCCAGACCCCCCCCCCCCCGCTCAAAGGGAGGGAGTGGAGGGGGGGGGGTGCCAATTTGGCCATCTGGTTTCTTGCTGACGCACAAATCAGCTAAAAATTCAAATCAAATTTCGTACGTGTCCGTTTTGGGGTCTTCGCTCACCTGATTTTCGAGGCTGGCTGGCACCTTGTTAAACGATGCGACCGACCTGCTATCAAATCGAATGCTGCCTTTATTCTGCTATCAGGTAAAGGGGCGTGGGCGTGGGCGTAATAACAGTATTTACGATACACGCGGACACACCGAAAACCATAAATGGTGATTTAAAAAACATTCGCAACCTGAACCCAAAATGCCAGCAAATACAATATATGATTGCCGGCAATTAAATGCCAGTAGCCCGGCCCGGACCGGATCGGCCCGGCCCGGCCCACGTGTACGTGTCTGCCGCCAGAGAAACGGGTAACGGTAAACTATCTGGCTTGACTAATGACCGACGCAGCCTGAAATTGATAAAAAGTAAATCGGAAATCAAAGCAGCTCCCATCAATTACACAATTTGGAAATTCAGACCTCCTCGCTTATCTACAGCAGCTCATTATCAGCCGCGTGACGATAGCAGCTAGTATGAAATACCAGGCCTATTTATGGCTAAGCGTGGCATTCGGTTAACTCTAATCTTTTTTTGGCTAGTACGCAGATAGTCGCGTGAAAAGTCTGTGACGTTGTTACTGACAGATTCGAAGGATTTGTCCTTAGCCAGCGGCCGAATAAATCTTTTTTTTCGGCTAAAACGCCCGCGTAGCAATTACCAAATTACCAAATATTCCCTAATTGCAATTTAGGGCGAGTTAATGCGGTGTTTGTCACCTGGCGACGTCTATTAAAATTTATTTGTTTGTCTTTGTTGAAACTCAATGAAACACATGCATGTACATATGTATGTATGTATGTGTATGTCGGACGATTCCTGCATACCCACAGATACACACTCACAGCTTCATTGTCTTTACGGACTTGCCGCGAGTTGTGCCCCGCCCATTGTCAGGTGGGCGGGCCCACGCCAAATAGCCAGCCGCCCTTTCGCCTTGTGAAGCGCCAAACTTGACGGCGACATCTCTTCCCTGAACAGTAGAAGTGTAAATTTATTTTCAAATTCAAATTCACCTGACTACGAAACTTTGTTCCAGGAAGTTTTATCTAATGAATAAGAATCGGTCAGCTGGCCATTTTTCTTTGTTTCTGGCATTGTTTTTGTTGCTCTTAATTGTATTACCTGTGGATATGATTGACAATTAGTTGGTTTTAAGAATCACGGAAGGTTATTTTGCAAAAAAATAAAATGCATATTCATTTTCGGAATGCATGATACATAAATATGTGAGTTTTGAAAATTTGATTTCAAGATTTCGTTTATAAGAATAAAATGCAATCATATATATTCTTGATCTGCATTAACAGTCTTTGCTTAAATCATATTCGACCGTATCGGAATAATAATAAATATAATAATAATAAATATAATAATAATAAGTATAATAAAATTATTAAAATAAGGAAAAATTCGTTCAAAAATATAAGAATACCGCATTCCTTTAATGTGTCCGCAAGGGATATTTAATATGCACCCAGAAGTTAAACATATGTTCCTTCCTGTTAGATTATGATAATCGTAAGGAAAGATAAACCTTCGACTGATAAATCACAATTTCTTTTAGTTCATATCTAGGCAACACATATCTTAGTTAAGATCAAATTTTGCGTATCGTTCTATAGCTGCCATTAAAAACCAAATATTTGTCAACTATTCTAGTTTTTAATCAATTAAACATCTCTTATGTAGTATGTGTTTGCAAAAAAAATGGGTCAGCTGTTTGCGCCGAATACATTCATTTATTTTCACCTCCCTGGAGAAAGCAATGAACCAGAACCTGGGAACAACAGCTGACGCTGACGCTGACGCAAAAATCCACTTTGAATCCCAATCCCTAGCTGGATATAATTACGGCTCATTAGCTGACGCGCTGCAGTTTGTGCATTTAATGCATATTCAAAATGGGGAGAATGTGCAAAATGACAGAAGGGAAACAGGAACAGCATCAGCCCACACAATGGCTACATATGAAGCCTTTGTAACCGCATGCATCGGAGTCCGGTTTTGACTTGCCGCAAATTAGAGGGAAAAGCCGCACTAGGAAATATAGGACAACACCCAGGGTGGGACCTGAAAAACTTTTCCCAAATGTGCGAATTTTCTTTGAAGCAGACGACGCACTGGCGACGTTTTTGTCACCAAAGCTTTTGGTTGAGGTCAGGATTGGGCGTGGCTACGCCCCTGAGAGACCGACCGCACGCGGCAAACATGTTGGCATGCAAAAAATAAAAACAAAAAAAAACAACAAAAAATATATCCCCCCACTAAATGGGCCAGTCCAACATAGTCTGACCATTGGCTGCGTGTGCTTAAACAGAAACCCAACGGGTCGGCATTTTGATCTATTCCGCACACAATTGGCCGTAATTAATTTGTTTGAGCCAACCCACAACAAGAAAAATGTTAGGTAAACGTGCAAAAGTCGGCTCTAAGCGGACCATTCTGTCAGCCGGACAATTGTCACGTCAAACTATGTATAGGCTGAGCTCACATGACCCAAATATCTGCTAATATATCGCATGGAAAACCATAAAATTATTCTTGATGTCGGCTAATTGTTTTTTCGCAAGTAAAGTGCTCTTAAGCACTATAATCTTTGACAAACTTGAACAGTTTCGAGCGAAATTAAATTATTTATTATAGATAGCAATTCAATTTCATATTTAACTAGTTTTTGGCAACTCAATGAAATAGTTTGCAATAGTTTGAAACAGGTGAAAGTGATAACAGAAAGACGAGCTTGGCTAAATGGATTTGAAGTTTGAGCTCTAAAAATTCCTAGCCCAGAGTTAAATAGCCGTCAGGGGATCAAAATATCGATTACTGTTATCCCCTTTAAACGTTTTAGATGAGGTAATCATACATAATCCTGAGTTATCCTGCGCCTGACGAAGACAGAAAATAAATTTGTTTCATAATTATTTAATTTATGTTACTGATTTTAAATTGTTTTTCAAACTCTTTTCGAGCTGTCAATGACAATAAAACTATCCTTAGCATCGTCTGACAATTTATCATTATATTTGTATCTCAAGCATTTTCTCGATGTCTTTTGTAATATCGTTAGCCCTGTTCATGAAAAGCACTTTAAATACTTTAAATATAACATTTGCCCCTAATAAATAATTCTACTCAGAGCAAGAAATTAAAAATGTTTAATATATCTGAAAAGAAATCGCATTTTCGAGTTGGAGTAGGGGAAAGTGCGCGACTATAAAAAGAGAATAACTTGCACCTAGCTCGCAATTCCCACATAATTCTATTAAGACAGAACTATATACGAAAAGCATAAAACAGCTTAAGTATTCTAGCTAGTATTTATATATAGTCCTTATATAAGGCTTCGTTTTAATATGAGGTCAACGATACCAACTTCTGCCTTTGACACACATTTTGCACCTGATATAGACTGTATCTGACATAGGAATGATTGCTCGCAAATTCAGTTTTTGAATAAAAATTCTTTTCGTTTTCAACGAGATTATAGGCAAACTAATCAATTCCTTGCGTCGCTTGAGTTTGCAACTATTTGAGCTATCTTTTATGGGAAATGTTCAAGCCGTGTGACTCAAAAGGATTCATAACTGCCAACAAGTTAGAAAACAGGATTTTCGATGCGCTTATTTTATGTTATATTGATAATTCATGTTTCACAAAAGTTTGATTACAACCAACCAGATCCAGCAGGTGGCTTACCAACAGAATTGGCACTCAACCAGGGCCCCAGGCCAAGGGACTCCAGGTTGGTAACGTGATTGGTGCCAGCCGTAATCGGAGAGAAAGCTGTATCTTTAATGATCGTCAGGTGGTGAGCGGCACCTGCGTTGCCATTGCGCGTGAATTGGCCAAACTTGGCCGCCTCGTACTCCGTCTTTTGGATCTCGGCGGCGGCCGCGTGGGCCGACCGCTGCAGGGCCGAAGCCGCCTCAGCCTCGCGAGCGGCGGCGATGCGCTGCTGATAGGCCACCGCTGCCTTGGATGCGGCCAGGCGCTGTTGGGCCAGAACCACGGCCGAGGCTGCCGAAGCCGCCTCCGAGCGTTGTATGGCCGCAGCTGCCTCCGACTTCTGCGTGAGTATCGCGGCATGTGTCTCCTTTTCCATGGCGATGCGTTGCTGGTTCAGCACGTTCTCCTTTGCCGCCTGCATCTGCTGCTGGGCGATCAGCACATTGGCCGATGCCTGCTTGGCCGCCGATATGGCGTTTGCCACCTCGTTCGGAGACGGCGCAGCCTTGAGCGAACTGTGTCCACCGTTCCAGCCGCCGCTGCTGCCCCCGAGGCCGGCCCAGTTGCCGGCTGTATTCCAAGCGTTGCCAAGTTGTGCACTGCTTGTCGTGGCCCACGGAACGGAGGCATCGCCAAGGCTGCGTTTCGGCAGCGTCTTGTCGGCGGAGGCAGTGCATCCGGCTGCTGCAGCCAACACCAGCAACATTAGAGGCACCATTCTTTGACTGGCACTTTGTTCGCTGCGGATGATTTTGAAATGCATTTTGCTTAATTCGAACACTTCTCTGTCTCCTACTGTCTCCTACTGAGCTACTGAACTCTCCTCCCGAGCGCTTCACTATTTATAGCAGAAGCTGCTGCTGCGAGGCAAGCCGCTGCTTTAATCACTCACGTAGCCGTTGGCATCGGCAATTTGGGCTCTTTCTCTATGGCAACTGATTTTACAGCTGCATCAAAAGGAAATGAAAGGCTGCTCCCTGCTCAGACGATGGGCAATTACCTAAGCGCAACGCCTTTCATCAATTGTTTATCGTAACCCAATTTATATTTCCCAATTATGCAATATCCAGTTCTTGGCACTATCTAGTACATATATAGAAAAGCGCTTCTTTAACAACAATATACCTAAAGACAGACACAATGTACACAAATATGCATGTGCGTGCATTCCTTTGTATTATTACGCCACACACACACACACACACCTGCCCACACCCGCACACTTGCCCACTCAGACGGCAGGCTGCTTTTGTGCCACATTATTAATGTTATAAAAAAATAAAATTTAATTACACCGCGAGAGCCACGCAATTTACGTGTCCAAAAGGTATTACTCTTGGAAAAGTGGGCGACATCCGATACAAATTGTGCAGCTCAGCTGCCGAACATTTCGCGCCGGCCGTGCAACGATTGTAATTACCATTAATGCACGTCGCCAGGTTGGACTTTACATTCGCTCGCATTAATGAATACAAATTGAATAAGACAAGCTGATGCCACAGTCGGGAGCAGCCGTCCGAAGGTGCGAACTACAAAGCTCCAAGTCTGTCCCATATTCTGTTCATAAATGTTGGGAGAAACGCCAAGATGGATTCTGGTAACAGAAAATAAACAAGAATAGGCGGATGACTTCAGAACGCCGGCGGTTAAATACCCTTCAAGACAAACAATTTTTGCATATTTCAACTTAATTTTCATTTCTATTCAGATATTCCTTTGACAGATATTCTATATTCCGAAAGACTAGACTGAATAGGTAAGGTCTTTATTTTCCGATTTTAATTCGTAATTTTCGGGGCATATAAAATGCAATACTTTAAGCCCAAGACTATACTTGCAGTCATACTTGTTGGGGAGGTATCCAAAAAGTCCAATATTCTGGGTCTGTGAATTCCACGAGACTCTCGGTCTACTTATCAAATTTGGTGTCTGCAGCTCCTTGAAGCAACCACATAAGCAATTTTTATAGAAACAAGGCAAAACATCAATGACTTAAAACGAACTCGCGGACATTAGGAGGACTCAATTTCTCTATCTAGCTCTTATAGTCCCGGACAGACAGACGGGCATGGCAATTTCTACTCGGCTGTTGATGTTGATTAAGAATAAATATACTCTATTCGAGTTGGAGGCGCTTGACATTTGTTACATACATTTGCACTAAATCATTATACCCCTTTTAACCATTTCCAATGGGTTCAGAGTATAATAACATTCTTTTGGTTAGTTTGTGTTGTCCACTTTCTTCCTGATACTCTGCTCTTCTCTGTTTTCAGTGTATGTTCTGCTTGATGGAATTTACATATTTCAACAAAATTTATCTATTTTTTTTTTTAAATTAAACTTTTACTCGAAATATAGAAAGCAGGTCCGTTGGCCAATAGAAATCTTAAATATCCGAGTTTTTCGCAATTTTCATTGATAGAGTCTTACGACAAGAAATGTTTTAATGCATGCACATGGTAAATAAAAGTATTTATTTAATAGCAACAAAAATTGAGTTTAAATTGTGTAATTTAAGATTTAAGCCTTTATGCTCACTATTTTTTTTTTAATGGTCATATATTCATGGAGTAGTTGACGTTTCTCAAAGAAAATACAATACACCGACACGTCGAGGTTTTTGGCGTAAAAAGCAGAAAGTCGATACATATCAGAAGCATATCACATTACATATTGTCCCTTTAATGGCCACCCACCGGAAGCTTTGACTGACCCACTGCCAACACTTATGCACATTTATATTTGTTTTATTTCAGAGCGCAAATCTGCAGGCCAGCATGTCGCAGGCATTTCAGCGACAGTCACGGAAATCTTTAATAGGCATTTTATTGCTCACCTTCTGGGCTTTTCTGGCGCAAGGAGTTTTGGCATCGGCATATGCCGATGAGCTCCACAAGGAGAACGGTAAGCTGCAATGCAATTGATGCCAGTTCACGCTTAACCTTTTGCTCTTCAAGATTTTCCTACCTTGGCCAAGCGACCCGCATTCTTCGTGGGCAGCCGATATGGACGAGCTAGCGGAAATAGCGGTGCCGGCGGAAATGGCGCCGCCTCGACCGGAATGGGAACCTCTAAGACGCGACGCCTAATCATAGTACCCCGGAATGATCGGTTTTTCCTAGGCTCACGATATGGCAAGCGCAGCGACGAATACCTGTCGCCATACGAGCAGAACAGCCTGGGCTTGGGCCTAGGCAAGGGATCCCTGCGGGAAGCCGAGCGGTCTGTCGAGGCCGACGAGAAGCCTAGCAGCTTAGCAAGAAACTCGCCCGTCATGTCGATGACCATGTCGTGCGTTTACACGGGCATCAGCAACTTCTACAGGTGCAGCAATGTCAACACGTAAGTCTTGCTCCATATGCTTTGCCATCCGTCATTAAACGAGCATTTCCTCCTTCCGCACAGAGAGGAGCTCGGCAACTTGGTGGGCCGCAGCGATGGCGTGACACTGGACTCCAATAGCATAGCCGCGGAGGATGCGAACACCGACATTAAGTAAGACGCCAGCGGACGGATTGATTGACCAACCTGCAGTGGCGGATCATTTCCTCTGACAGTTAATATCCTTGTTATCCCTTGGCTTTCGGCTACTCATGTAGCGTATCTTATGTTCAAAATGAAGCAGCTGGTATTAAAATTTTTAACGGGGCTGGAAAAGTTTTAATACCCAACAATAAATCTGTAAATAAGTATACATACAATAAATACATACATACATATATGCATACATCTGTATCAAATAACATACCTAGGTAATTCAATTACTTATTACAAATAAGCGAATTGTATTTAAATGCTTACCGAGCATCTCAAGCTACTCACGCGCTTCAGTGAGTATAAAGGATCCTTTGGCTTCGCAATGCTAGTTCCATATTAATACCAACTTACATATGCACAGAATTCATGCATGTATTTTACCTATTCACTCGTACAATTGTAAACGTTAAATAAATGCAAGAAAATATATAATTAATTAATTAACTCTGTGCAGACACACATATTTACAGCACAAGGCTTATATTTAAGTTTGTTCACAGAATCTCATATGCAAAGTTTGCCTGCTTCCAATTTTAAAAAGGGATAGTTTTACAAATAGTTTTGAATGCGACAGGCAGAGGGGGAGTCTCCAACTAGAAAGTGTAAATGTATTCATAATATCCATCAACAGCGTTCGATCTAGCCATGTTTTTCTGAGAGTACAAGAGGGTATTTTTGGGTACTTCGAATATATTAAAAGCTGATTCCTATGTAAATTATCGTATAGAATACAAATACTACTTGCGTATATATGTAGCATTGAATGGGTAAAAAGGGGTTTTTAATAGACAAACATTTGTAGTTAAGTAGATTGGAAAAATTCTACTACAAAAGGCAATCATGCTTGTATATTCTAGTATTTCCCACTCAGCATTAAAGAAATTCGACTTATTTGATAAAAGATAAAAAATTATCAAAGATGGTCATGACTGTTTGACTTCACAAAATATTCATATCCTTGAAATGGATTGATCTTTTAAGGATTATCTAAAGCATTTCACATCGATCAACATTTTTTGAATGCATGTATAAAAAGAGACTCTTTCAGCTCACTAATAGTTTTTTCTAAATGGAGGCTATGGCTAAGTTTCGTCTTCTCACACTTTCCCAGCTTACCACCTACAGACTTTATATATATATATATATATATAGTATTCTTTAATGTATGTGGGTTCAAAGGCAAATATCTTCCCCTTAATAGAGCAATTTGCCTTGCGGTAATGCATTTCTGTTGCGAATAAGTTTCTCTGCGGCCCGATACATTTGCTTACACCTAAACGTACACATAAATATATTGTAGGTACTACAAGAAATTTAATTAACATAGCAAGGCCCACACTTATACAAGTAATGAGCAAAAAGGCAGAGGAGCACTTACTCGTAAAATGGTTTCTTAAACAGAAAATGCGGAATGAAAAAAATGCTGTAAGTCGTCGTAACACAAAGTTTCTCTTAGCTGGCATTGATTTTAATTGATGGCAACGGATAGCGGTATACGACGGAGTCCACACGCCAGGGCCCAGCATAAAATCTAAACAGCATTTTAAGCTAGTGGCGAAGTGCTTGCTAATTGCATTAAGCGGCACGGGCAACAATGTCATCCGGATCCACCACACGAGCGTTTCTTTGGGCCGCCCGCATCACAACTTTTCGGCAATCAGGACACGACAACGCGGCGATACTTTCTCATCAAACAGCTTTTCGTAGCGCACCTCCAGGCGCAGCTGCTGCGCTGCAGCCACTTCCCTGAGGTAACAAAGGCGGTCGTAGAGCACCAAGTTCTCGCACAGTTGCTAGACAGAGACATGGCAGTCAATTTGAAGGTTTGCGAAAGCAATTATGAATTACCTGTATGCTGGTCTGCAAACAACACAATGCCTCAGCCAAACGGGAGCCACGACCATCGGCATACAGCTCGGTTATTTCAGCAAAGCGTGTCTCATGAACGGACCGCCAGTCCAGCGGCTGGCCCGTTTGCCGCGAGCGCAACTGATATCTCCGCTGTATGTCGGCAAATGTGTGCCCATCCTGGTGGGTTGGGTCCAGGTCGTGCCGCTTCACTTTCGTCAGCTCGTCGGCATCGCATAGGGCTTCCGCCAAGGCACGCACAAACATCCGACTACCGTGCTCTGCATGCGCGCGAGCATCGCATCGCCAACGCGAGTGCGTCTGCTGGCACGCCAGGCGCATAAACGGGCGGTTGAAGCAAGAAACCGCAGAATCAGCTGACATAGCCTCACGAAGCGCCTGGCTGAGGGGAAAGTTCATAAACGAGCTCCTGGCAGAGCTGTCGTCCGCTAGAGCTTCAGTTTCGCAGCGCAGCGCGAGCTTGTGATAACAGCAGGGCATTATATGTAGACACCGCACTTGCGGCATGGCCAAGAATAATAGCATTGCGCTTATGCTCAAGTCCGCACAGGCATGCAAGCCAATTATCGTTGTGCGCGGCGCTCTCGGCAATCCGTTGCCCGCGGCCAGCTCAGATGCGTAGTGCTCGATGCGAGCGCAGGAGCTGGCGTCTGCTGTGATAAATAGCTGCTGGTAGCTAATCGATTTGTGCGTCTCCTGTGGAAGCAGCGTCCGGCTGCGTTGGCGCGCCGCTTGCACTCGCTGCTCGTCTGCTTCCAGGCCAAGTATCAAATAATTATCGTTTCGCTGAAGCAGCGCTTCGCTGAGATAGCCCAGCCCGGAACCCAAGTCGATTATGAATGGCGTATCTGCGCAGTGTCCATGAATGTGCGCTGCCAACTGTTCAATTTCATGAAGTTTTTTGGCTGCCATCTTGCAGTTATTGCCAGAAAAGTTCCTTGGCAATGGGGCAGCTGATGGAGCTGTTTGAGTAGGCGTCAGCTTAGCTATCTCTTCGCGAAAGCGTTCCACCTCCTTGGGACACCCGTCTAAGTGTTCATGCACGAATGGAAATTCGTTTAGGTCTTCATTTGATATTCCTAGGAAGTAATCCTTGAAATCAGAAGGCATATCGTTGAAAGACTTAAGAAAGCACGTATTTGCCTCGCGGTATATCCACGAGTACTTCTGCAAGAAACCAACAGCACTTCGAAAATATGTGTCGTCATTGGCATAGATCCTCGGCAGAGACATGGCTGAGGAAGAAGAAAAAACCAATGCAACTGAAATGCAAGAGTTTAAAATGACTATTCTAACTTTGTAAGTCAATTTGGAGTTAAGTTTTATATACTTTAATTTACATTTATTATTCTTATATAAATTATTTAATTTGGAATACCCATATTTCCCATTCAGTGGGCATAGCTGACCGGACTGTATAAAAATACTCCCATCGTGTCGGAAGCTGACTATTATTTTTCGTAGGCCTTGTCTCAAATATACTATATAGCGAGAAGTCGTTGGTTTAAATTCAACAGAAACTATAAATTTGTATATTTGATTGCTTATTACATTAAAAAATCTATATGATAGTTACAAATATATTAATATTGCATATATCAACTTTGGCTCTTGAGATTAAGTCCAGAATGAAAGTCATTATTTATCTTTTGTGGGGAAAATTACTTGAATACTACACCTCTAACTTCATATTAATATTATTATATTCTTGGCACGAAAATTTCGAGATTTTGGAGATGGTTGCTTTGCAATTCTTACCAAAAATCCTTTGGCGACAGAGCTTCGATAGTTAATTCTTTAAGTTCTGTTTTCGCAGCATCTAACGATTCTGTAGCTCGTTAACAAAGTATTGCTACTGCCACCAACTATACAACATAAAATGTACTTCAAAACAATACAATACAAATTTAAATATTATTTATAGCCAGTTGGAGTCATTGTAGTCGGATAGTTTTGAGGGTACTCAGTACTACTAATTACTAGATATATTAAAATTATTTTTATTAATTTAATCTGTTCCAAAAATCTATTTAGACAACAATTCATGAAGAAACCAGAAAGCAAATAGTTTTGTTTGTTATAAGACAATTTCCTTTAATTATCGATAACAAGTAATCAACGCCTTTCGGTAGAAAAACAAAAACTTATATATGAAAACGTATATAAAGTAGAAACAGAACAAATGTGGCTATAGGTATATACAGTCAGAATTTGAGAAAAAATACGATACACTTAGGATATGATTTGCCACTTTAAATTAGTCTCCTGCTCTAACTTGTCGTTTGCCGGCCCTAAAATACATTTTCCAAAATGTTTGGGTTCCTTTTTGAAGTACTTTTCAATTACATTTCGCAGTTCGTCGACTGTCACTGAAAGCACGCGCGAACGATATTTTATAAACATCTCTTGCGAAACCTCATACAGGAAGTAATCTATGCCAATGTTTCCAGGCGCGATAGGCGAGTCTAGCTGCTGCAGTACGCCCAATTTAGCTTCAAATAGTGTTTGCTGATCCAGCTTATTGCTTTCCGCTTTAAGCCACTCGTAAGTTTTATCGAATGCATCCAGAGTCTTTGTGGAATGTGGATCACGATAACTAAAAAAACAAAATATGCCATCAGAGCCAATTTTGGCACCTGCGCCGTACGCCCCGTTCTGTTCACGCACCACAGGCAACAGATACTTGGCCGATACAAGTTTCGCCAATACGCGTAGTACGGGGTGATCTTCATGCAAGTACGGAACCGCAAAGAAAGCTTTTGCGCAGTAGTTCACAGGAATATTCATAATATAATGCTGAAAGCTGGGTTCCAACAAATGCAGTTCGCTCTTGGCACTCGTATTTTCAAGCGTAGGCAAATTTTTGAGGAAGGTTTTGTAGTGTTTCAAGGCTGTTGGTTGAAAGGCCTCTGAGCTATTAATGGCAACGCGCATGTTGCTTTTGCTGAACACTTTAGAGCCAATCTTTCTCAATCTGTCGCGAATTTGCTCCGTACTATTCTGTTGCACATACTTTTTCATGAAATCTATGTGATCCACACCCGATAATAGGGATTTCAACTTTGCAGCATCACTGACCAATGCAGCGGAGCTTAACATGGCGTACAAGTGCCCGGAACTTGCGATTCCTACTGATATATTAGAAATGTAGTTTTCAATAAGCATCTTCAGGCGATCCGTATCTTCTAGCTTAAAATTAAGAAGCAATTCTTCACACAGTGCAAACATATCAGCAACGTTCTTGTCGAGCGCATGTGTGTTCATCATCAAGCCCAATCGATACGATTTGGCATCCTTCACATTTTCGACGAAATTCAGTTTAATATCAATACCGGCAGTTTTTGAAAGAACTAGTTTGTCGAATTCACGGAAATTGTGATTGGCGGTGCCCATATCGTTAATTACGTTACAGAATAAAGGTACGAGCACAATCTCGTCTCGACTTAGTCCTGTAATATTGAACAAGCATTTAAGGTAGGTTATTTCATTGGTGGGCACCTTACACAGCTGCGTGGGGACGTCTTGAACAGTTTGCATTTCAATTATTGGTATCTTTGGTGGTTGCTT